TTATGATAAGCTTGTCATTATTAATGCTTTCTTCATTTCCTCTGCAGACCAAAATTTAGATGTTTCTTCAATGAAAGTATGTCTTCATCGCTAAGAAATATATCGGCATTTTTTCATTGTATCTGAGCAGAAACAATTTTGATATCAAATTGAATTCGGTATTTAATAATGGAAAATTACGTCACGGATTAATTTGTGAGATTGACGTATTAAAACTCGAATATTCTAAGCAAGCATCATAAAAACGTTTTAAATTCTCTAGAAAATATCCTGGAAGCTATCCTGAACATAAGACAAAATTTTAAAATTTGTATTATTATATAAAACCGCATAGATTATTTCAACTATTTTATTCAATTTAATGTGGGGTATGTATGCAAGTGCATTCCAATCCTTGGATTACATTTAAAAAAATAAGTACAGTATTCTACCTCGTCACAAAGTTTCATAAGCCCATCAATTCCACTCCCCCAGAAAGTCTTGGGCAAAGGGAATTTTCAAATTTCTATTGATTTTCTCATAAAAGCCATCTTTTAATTAAGTTTTTGAAAAAGTTTTTTTCTGTTTTCGTAAATGAGGGCATCATTAGGTGATAAGTGGGACTGAATTCCAGCAAAGATAACGCCGATTTTAATGCCGTTTCTTTGAGTCAACCCACGATTTTTACCTGAGATGACATTTTTTTTAAGATAAGCAGATATTTCTATGTAAATCATTAATAACGGGAAATTACACATGAGCAACACCATGTGCAAATAGGATCCACCCAGTTTCATGTTGAACTTTCCAGTGATAATTTCATAGAAGAACCCCAGGATTCGATATTTTTCTGACATCACAAGACAATATATTTAATTTCGAAATACTGCTGTAGTACATAGAAGGATTCTGGTATTTACTGATGAGCTAGAATATAATGTCAAAATTCTTTCAACTCGTCTGAAGATAGCACTTTTTACTCAAATGTAAGACTGATTCGTGCTTCTAAAATAAGTTCTATTAAAATCTGGGTGCATCACCGCTTATTTTTTGTGTTGTGACTTTTGATCGTAAAATATTTATTTCTCATGAGCTCAAATTTGAAATCTCAAATGTAATCAAATAAAGTATCTTATTTCGGAACTTTGATTCAAATATGACAGTATATAAGATTGAAGAATTTCAGAAATAAGACAGATAAAATAGTGATCTTGAAAGTGTATACCTTGATGACACGGATGCGTCGGCCTCAAATCAATCATTAAAAAGTGCTCAATTACCGAAACATAATACTGAACTCGAGTAAATATTTGCGTGAAAAGTCATCTCCAAGTCTGAGGAACAAAAAAAAAAACTGCAAGGATCTCTTCAAATAAACTGCATCTTAGAAAACACTGCTGTCAACTCCTGATTTCAACTTATTGAAGAGACTCGCGAGACTTCGCAATACCCAATGCGCAAAATTGGATTTTATATCGCTGATGATCCGAAAAAAAGAAGGTAACTCAAAAATCCGAAAAAAAACCAATATATTGTTTGGATTTTCCAAGTCGTAGGAATTGCGCAAAAGTCTCGCTGTATGCGAACCCGGCTTCGAACCGGAGCGATGAAATTCGCGGTCACGCTTCCGTTGCATTTTCAAGGGCGTCAAGACAAACAACCCCCCCCCCCCATCTTTGTTCCGTTTCTCCTTTCAACTCAAGATCCACATCCTGCGTTTTGCAAGAACAAGTCAAGTCCCTTTCGATTGTTGCCGAAATCGTCTTTTTTTCTGTTATTTCTGTCTTTCTTTATTTTCCGAAGAAACGGGAATGCGAATTTTTTCCCGCTAGTGCGAAAAAGGAGAGAGAAAGGAGGATGGTGCGTGGGTGTCGGGCGGATGGGCAAAACGCCAGCAACAGCGGAATGCCAACTGCACCGGCACACAGCAGTAGCACAGTAAAATGAAAACGGATTCTGGTACAATACTCGTAAAAAAAAAGAAGAAGATAACGAAAAAATTAAACGAAAAAAAGCGGTGAATCCCGATGGGGGGAAAAATAAAATCCCATCAAGATTTCAGCCGTAGGCGTTGGAATGAACTCCGTGAAATTCATTTTAAACAGAAAAGAAACCCCATCATGTCGATGTCAGAAGGGAAAGGTCCGTTTCTGCTACTCATCTCATACCTTATTCTTTCTTCTTTTTTTTATTGCCATTATTTTTAAAATTCATTATTATCCTCGAACTTCTTATGGGTTTTCTCCCTTTCGGCTTTCGCGGGGCTGGGCACGTTTTATTCCCGTTACTTTTTGATTCGTAAATTTGCGCGTATATATAGGGGATTCAGATTCGAAATTCATGAGATGAAGCACCATGTGTGGTCCTTCAGATTTTATTATCACGCCGAAACCAAAGAAAACTATACTGCTTTATGATGCTTTAATGGCCGAATTGAAAAAAAGTATTGCTGTAGTTTGTCGGAGTAAAGTATTCAAAAGTATGAAAACTGTTTTGCGACCGAAGTTACGTAGTGATAGACTACAATAAGCACCTGCAGCTTAATAAGCTAATTATGTATCACACTTATGAAGCATGAAAAGTTGATTTTAAATTCATTCCAGCCCTCGTCTTCAACCAACGTCAATTAAATTTTTTTTTGCAGTTCCTGTGAAAATTCGAAATGATACGATGCGCATTTTAATGCCTGATTCAGTTGTATGCCACTTGCTATTGTCATCATTTTCGACACGCACCAATGGGTTTTCTGAAGAAAATTGCCTCAATTCCCATTTGAATCCCATCAAAATCTGTACTGTTCTAAATATTCACGTTCATCACAAGTCTAATTTTGTCTTGGCAAATTGTCCTGGGGGAGGCGTGACTATTTGCAAGACCAATAATGTGTTCACTGAAATGCATTAACGATACTTTACTACGCCGCTACCGTAAGTTCGCAAAATTTAGCCGTTATATTCGCTACTGTAAGAAACAATGACCCTATGAAGCTTTTCCAATTTATGTCGTCTTTTTAGCAGAATCCACCAACAGCCAAAAATACTTCGGGATAGATCTCAAATCAATGGAGCTCTTCTATCCGAAAATAACTTCGGATAGAGCGCATGTCATGGTATTGGCCATACCAAACCATTAGCGGACTCGAGCGAAGTTCAATACCCGTGCAACTTATAAAATCTATTGTAGATGTCACCTCTGCAGCGTTCTACAAGTTTTTGCGCTGTCGCTGAACAAACGCGTTTCTGTGCGCAATTTTGTAAAACCTGCAGAGTTCCCAATTGTTTCAAACCATTCCAACTGTCTTGTTTCGCCCAAAGTTCATCCATTTCTAAACACAAAAATTAAATTTAAGCTCTGCAAAAAATTTTTGCCGCGTAATATGTGCCGAATTTCGTTAATATTTACTTCAACCCATACTCCGTTACACTCACATTGCGGAGATCCCTGCAACTACCTTCAGGGGCGGCATAAAAAAGGAAGGATGGAAAAATATAACTTCCATTAGTTTGGTGCTAAATATGAAAAAATCCTAAGCAGTTTCAGCCATCCTGCTGACCATCATGAGCTCTTTAAAAAGCATACAACTGAAAAGACCGAATATTCAAGAATAATTTCCATCTAGTGAAGCTATGCAAAGAAATGCAAAATGATGGTCACTAACACCAACATAGGGCCGGATTAAACCATATTTTGGCCTGATGCTGCAACAAAATGGGCCTAATTTTCCTCAGCAAAAATGAATTTTCCTCACACAATTAAAAATAGTAGAGAACAAATGATATCTGAGGCTAGAATTCAATCACACATAGATATGGTAGAATTCCACCTCAATGAATCTCATTACAATACTGTACACTTTTCTTATAATGCATTTTTCTTGGTCCTGGCAGTTTCTCCGTAGGCACCATGTTATGGAAATCTCACTGTAATGAACTCATTCAGGCTGTTGTCTAATTATAACAAAAGGTTGGGCTTGATTCTGCAGTCCATAGACTTTAGCAATTATTTCATAAATGGTGGAAGGAATAAGAAAAAATATGAAAAGATGCAACATTCCAATTTATTGAAAGACTAAAGATTTTTGTAGAGAAGGTTTGGTGTTCAAAAAATGCTCATCATTAAAAAAAACTTGCAGCATTCACATTATAATTCAGTTAGGGGCTCCAAAAAAGCAAAGAGAAATAGCATTCAGCAACTTGGAAATCTCTGTAAATTTTTTATATTGAAAATTATGAAAACTGGCAAGATCGAAAGATAAAGACATATTTTCCCAACAAAAGATACACAGGGATATGTAAAAAATAACAAACTCAGTTTGTCACACCCCTGCTCTTAGAAGTCATCATAGAAAATATGGCTTGGACAAGATCCCCTTGGCCTGGTGCACAGTAGAAAATTTCAGGGGGGGGGGGGAGATCTTCCTGTTTCACAGGATGCAAGGTGAAAAGGGGTTTTCAAGGAGGTGGGGGGGGGGTGGTTGTTCAAAAAGCATCTCCATCGCAAAAAAGGGACACTTGGATTTATGCTGGAACCCAGAACAATGACAAAAGGGGGAGGGGGAACCATACAGGGCGCAGGATAAGGAGGCACAGCAGGGAATGGATTGAATAAAATTAATTTGTTACATCACATTTGTTTATAAATCACTAATGTTTCAGAAATGAAATATCATAATTTTTTTCAACACCAAAAAATCAATTCATAAGATTTTTGAGGCCACCACAGGCTTTTGAAGTAGGGACAGGAGCGACACATTTTATACCACCACCAGCAGCATGAGTGGAATTGAAATTTTTGATTCAATTTTCTCCTGCCCATGATTTGCTGGCGCTGCCTCTTCCTGTTTTTGGTGATTATGGCCTAGATCTCTTTTTTAATGCAGTAATGATTGTGTGCTCTCATCTGATTTTTATGTCCTTGATCTGGCTTCCTCTTCAAGGGTTTTTATGTGCAGCAGTGTACTTGAATTGATTCATGGATGTCTGATTTTTAAAATCCTAAATACATTTATCTTTTCTGCTCTTGCAAAGTTTTCATACTCTCTCAAAAGTTTTGAATTCCCCAGCTCAGGAATTTTAAACTTGAAATTCCCCAGTTTGGGGAATTTCATTTTCAAATCCTCTGAGGGCCTATTTGCCTGGTGGGCCTAATGCTACAGCATCAATAGCACCCACCTTAATCCGGCCCTCACCCAGGGTCGTATATATTTATATGTATACATATCTGAAATCCTTCGGAAATTCGCAGTGTGTGATCATTTCGGTGTACTATACTACGGAATCGGGCTGTTCTTGGCCGTCCTGTGGTGGGCCATGACCTGGGAAGAGGCCAAAGCGTGTCCCTACTTCCACTTCGCTGACATGTTGACCAGAAAACGTGGCATGTTTGACGGGCTTTCCCGGATCGCAGTGGAGACCGTCGCCGGACTTCTCGTCTACCCGTTAGTCAATTAATTAAAAAATCCATGGAAATTTCTGTTATGAAAAATTCCTATGGGTCATTTTCTCCCCCGAAAAACACGACATTTTACAAAGCCTCGGCAGAAAATATTTAGGATCAATGTTTAAAAACTAGAAAACAACGAAATGAAGCGACACTTTAAAATGTCAGTACAGCAGCAGTAGAATCTCTTACGACGGAGCGTTTGTAACCTTTGAAAAAGCGTCTTCATAAACGATCATTCGTTCAAACGAAATTAAAATAACATTTTGGCTATTTCACGAAAAAAAAAAACAAACTAGTTGTGAGCTTGAATTCGTTATAAAGTGATTTGTTGTCACGATATTAATTGTAGTACTGTATATACAAAAGAGATGGAAGATATCATGGAGTCTAGTGCAGTGATGCATTTCATGTACAACGAGCGTCTTTCATGCCAAAGACCATTTTCTATCGAATACAAGAAAAACAAAGTTTATCTTGCATTTGCTGTTGTATACAGTTGAACCAGAATAGCTCAAATCTCCAGCATAGGTCAAAAACCGCCCTATTTCGAAAATTGTCAAGCCCCTGTCTGAATTCCCCTGCTCGAAAAGTGCATTAAAAAAAACCCCGATTCGAGGGCTTTCCTCCGTAAACCTCTATACTTCGGATTTTCTGGAGGCCTATTTGCTATTATTTTATTGGCACAGGAAAGAGGGAAATAATAATAAAAGATACCTTGATGTGTTTTCGAAGGACATGAAAGAATATTTGAGCAAATAAACCCTTGCCTCCACATTCAGCGTCGTCCTGTCAACTCATCTAAAGAGCATCTCAAGACCTATAATATCAACAACAACAACTTTCTGTAATTATTTCCTTCTTTCCCCGAACATAATGCTTGTTTCCCTAATTCGAAACATCTCAAACTCGATTTTTTTCTGGTCCCTTAAAGTTTGGCTGGAAGAGGTTCGATTGTATTTCATAAAATCTTTAAATTTCAGCATTTATAGTCACAGAAACTTTTATAAGTTCTCAGGCAAAAATTCATTACAATAACTGTATTCTGTCTATTGAGGTCATCAAAAAGAGACAGCATAGTTTCAGTGTTGACCTCGTTTTTTCCTCCGAGTCACAGGTTCGTGTGGACTTTTTGGGCTCTTGGACTTTCCACGGAACACCGACAGAAGGCGTTTGACTTGCGCTGCATCACTGACATGCAGGTACAGATACCTTAATTGCATCGCGTTATTTCCCTGTCAATTACCGATTAACCCAAATTATTTTGCTCCTGCTGAGCACTGCGAATGACAAGCGGGACAAGTATCAAAGGCCCGTAGGACACAGAGCCCCTCCATTTACGCGAGAAAATGAGAAAATTCGTGAAGCATGATCGCTAACTTTGTGTTCAAGCGACACCTAGTTGGAAAAAGTAGAAGACGTAACTATTGTTTGAACATATTCAACAGGTGTCGCCAATGAATGCTGCCCTGGTTGAAGGAGCTGGAACAATGGCGTGCGTTTTATTCTCACTGTACATCAATTCAAAGGCTTCCTGGAAGATTTCAGCACCATTAGACGCACTTGTCAGCTCTATCTTGGTGTGCTTTGGTAGGGGCTTTTGCAGATTTCCATGTATTCCTTGCTTTGGATTTTTCTGAAGAAACGCATACGGTTTACGAGATCATAATCAATCTCCAGCACTCACCATTGATCACGTGTTGCTGATATAAAGAATTATCTGTGCTTTGAATGATCAACAAGTTAGAAATACTCAATAGGTACCAATTCTTGCACAAGGAGATATCCGATACAACGTTGAGGAATCCATGAAGAACTATCTCTTAAAATGAAGTCAAATCATTATCTCCTCGTTTCAAAATGCTAAAAAAAAAATCATTCAAGTCCACTTCTTCGGAAACTAAAGAAAGTTTTTTGTCAAGATGCATATATTTTCACCATTTTGTTAACAGCATTGAACTACACTGGCGGATATTACAACCCTGTCCTGGCAACTTCTTTGAAGTTGGGCTGCGATAATGATGACTATGTGGACCACTTGGCTGTTTACTGGCTGGCATCTTCACTGGGATGCATTTTTGCATGTTTGGCCTTCGAATCGCCGTTGCTCAAGAGCAAACAGAAAGCTGAATGAGCGATCCCAAGATTCGTTTTTCTTTTCCGGAAGAACACTATATGTATTGCATCGAAGGGCATTCAATTTTTTTTGGAATGCGATGTATTGCGTGATTTTTCAAAAATTTTGAGTCAATTCCGTATCTCACAGTGTGTGTGTGACGAACCTCGCGTGCAATTTGAACCGGTGATGAACAAACCTTGACAAGGTTCCAGAAAAGAAAGAAAAAATCCCGAAAGAATTGAGTTGCTGTCAATGACAAACGAAAGATACTGAGTCCCGACAACAATGTTTGCTTTCATTCGTAAATTTTTTAAATATTTTTTTGTCAAATTACTGATATCCCCGGTGTTACCATAGTGAGAAATTTGCAATTTCTACGAACTTCACAAACAAAACTGTGATTATCAGGCGTCTACAACATGGGAGAATAAGCTAGTACTTCAAGGTTATAATGTAAGAAACAAAACCGTACGACTAAGGTATCTTTTTGTTCCTGTCAACGGCTTTAGTAAAAGTTCTTATTGGAGTAAAATTAGATTTGAAACTGAAAATTCTGTGTGACCTTTTTCTTAAAACGTTCTTCCAATTTTCAACTCGCGATACTTCAGTCTCCCAAGGTCCGTACCTGGCCAAAAAATCGATTTAATCGATCAGAATCGATGAAAGCGATTATTTTTCAATCAATTTTCAGCATTGTTTCTTTTACTGATAGTTTTTTGCACGAAAAAAGAAATATAAACGAATATATCGATTAAAGGGTAAATTAGATACGTTCTAGTGTCCTGCTCGCAGAGAGGCAAATAAAACATTTCCCAAAACACATTTTAAAGATTATTCTGCGAAGAAAGATAATTCCGTGAAATGACCTTTATTCTCAACTTCAACTCTGAAAAAAGACAGCACAGCACTCTCAAATAAAATCAAAGCTAGCAAACATGGGAAATCGCACTTGAAAATAAATTATTGGTATACTTTTCTCACTCTGGCCATTTTTGAAAATGTAAGAATTGTACAGTGTAAGAATCGTTTAATTCCTTCGGAAAATCATCCATATATCCATGCAAATCCTAGTTCAAAATCATAGAACTCTCAGAAAAAGACGTTTAAAGAATAGTAAATAAGGTCAACGTAATTCTTCCTTTGACTGGAGTAAAATACAGTATAGTACTATACTGAACTTCCATCATCCACATATCTGCAAATAATTAAAAAATACAATATCTTAAATCTTTGAATTGATTTATCAAAAATCAGAGTTAAATCGGTCAAATGTACTGTCTTTTCTCCATCGAATGCTTGTCATATGATAAAAAATAAAGTTGCTTTTTTGAATGAAAGAATCTCTTCATTGCACCTATATTAATAAATAAAAAAGAGATCAGCGTGACAGGGAACATCAAACGGGGAAAAAGCAAAAATTTCGCTCATTTTTCGGTTCTTTTCTTTGAAATGGAGCACACAAAAAAAGTGAAAGAGCGTATAATTTCATGCAACATCGCATTACTCGCATCATTCAAAATCTGATTCTAAAATAAAAGTGGACAAAAGATATAAACTAAATAATAAGTAAATAATTGGCTCAATATATTTCTTCCACCTTCGGACTATATAGATCATACGTTGATCTCCTATTGTTTCCCCTGGTTGAATTTAATTCGCAACAGTGTTTCTGCCCTTTCTATATATATATACAGTTCATGTTTATATATGCATGTATATTTTTGTTTTTGTTTTTCTCTTATTTTCTCACGACGAGGGCCCCATTCTTATTCCGTGTTTCACTGTCGCGTATTCGGCCACGTCCTTATACATATATAACTGGCAGCTTTATCATTACTCGCAT